CTGATCCTGGGCCAACCTCTCTGTTGTTGCCATGCTTGAGTCCATTGATGCTGCCACTTGGCCAAACCATTTCGCTGGGGGTCTTCCTCTTTTTCTCTGACCCTCCACCTTACCAAACATGATATCGTTCTCCAGTGACTGCTCCCTCCTTACAAAATGTCCGAAGTATGAAAGACAAAGTTTGGACATCCTGGCCTCTGAGGAACACTCTGGTTGCACTTTCTCCAACACATATCTGTTGGTTCTTTTGGCAGCCCATGGCACTTTCAATATTCTCCTCCAACATGGATTTACCTCTGGGTTCTCAATTCTGTTCCATTGATCTATGCGTCTTTCATTGTACCAGTACCAAGCTGTTTTGACTACTGTGGCTGTGTAGCAGGTTTTGAGACCACGAAGTGAAAGGCCTCCTATTTTATTCTTTTTTAATAATGCTTTGCTTGTCTGCAGTTTCTTTCCTTTCCACATAAAGTTAGTGATTAGTTTTTCCATCTCTTTAAAGAATGACGCTGGGATCTGGATTGGGATTGCTGTGGTACAAGGGGATCAACACTGAACTGTGAACCACAAGGTTGGCAGGTTGAATTTACAAGCCACCCCGTGGGAGAAAGATGAGACTTTGGGCTCTTTCAAACATTTATAGTTTCGGAAACCTTATACAGGGTCTCTATGAGTCAAAACCAACTCGAAGGCACTAAACAACAACAAACATAGATTGCTTTGGGCAGTGTTGACATTTTTGCAATGTAAAGTCTTCCTATCCACTAGCAGGGTATATTTATTTCTACATTTCTGCAGGTCTCTTGGTTTCTTGTAATAGTGTTTTGCAGTTTTCTTTGTATACGTCTTTTCTTTCTCTGATTAGATATTTTATGTTTTGGATGGCTATTGTAAGTGGTATTGTTTTCCAGATTTTCCTTTTCTGAACTCTCTTTATTAGTGTAAAGGAATCCAAATTATTTTTGTATTTTGATCTTGTACCCTGCCACTTTTCTGAATCTATTGATTAGGTCCAATAATTTTCTTGCTGAGTCTTTGGACGTTTCTAAGTGTAGGATCATATAGTCTGCAACTAGAGAGAATGTTACTTCTTCTTTGCCAATTTGGATGTCTCAAATATCCCCTTCTGGTGTGGTGCTGTAGGATAAGCACTCCACCTCAAAGTCGGTTTCAGCTTCAAGATTGACAGTTCAAACTCACTAGCCACTTCTTGGAAACCCTATGTAGGGTTATTATGACTTGGAATTGATTTGCTGGTACTTAACAGCAACAAATATCCCCTTCTACCTCTGGCTAAGACTTTCAGCACAATATTAAATTGGAATGGTGATAAAACATATTCTTGTCTAGAACCTGTTTGCAATGGGAATGACTTCAGTTTCTCACCATTATGAGTGATGTTGGCTGTTGGTTATGTATATATCTTTAATTATGTTGAGGAATTTCCCTTATATTCCTATTTTGTTGAATGTTTTTATCTAGAATCAGTGTTGGATTTTTTCAAATGTCTTTTCTGCATTTTCTTTCTCTTTTAATCCTACTTTCTAGGAGACTTCTTCAGCCATATTCAGGGCTGGCATTAGGATGAAGAGAATGCCGTGGGTGCAAAATTTGAGAGGGCATTAAAAAGGTGGAGTAGTCAAGAAGTACAATATTTTGACGCAATGTTTTAAAATTTTTTTATAAAAAGCAAAGTATAGGCGTTCTGGTGTGGCGCTGTAGGATAAAGCATTGTACTGACAGGTTGGACTGAAAAGTCAGTAGTTTAAACCCACCAGCCACTCCTTAGAAACCTTATACAGGGTTGCTACATGTCAGAACGGACTCAGTGGCATAGTACCACCACCACCACCACCATATGTATTTATTCCTTTCCCTGAGCTTCTCTGGTGCTTTGGTCTCTGTCAGTTTGAATGTTTTCTCAGTGTGTCTGGTGGTCAGTGCCTGCCCCCTCATATTTTAAGAGTGCAACGTTAAAAAGTTGATTATAACTCTAGAGGTTCTCTCCAGCTATTTATATTGGGAGAATCTCAGACTGCCTGTATTTCTAGTCATTTTCTTCTGAACTTGTCAGTTTCCAAGGGGAAGATTCCTATCCCTTCTTTATAGTACAGTTTGACTGTGCCCAGTTGAGCCCAGTGTCCCTCAGTCTTGACTTTCCGTTTTTTAACCTCTCCTGGTATGGTGCTGAGGATTCATATGATCTTCTGCAAGGTTGGTTTGAACCACCAGGTCGGTGTTTCAAGCTCTCCATCTGCTCCTTGGAAATGCTAATCAGGGTCGCTATGAGTTGGAACCTACTAGAAGGCACTTAACAGCAATACCTCTCCTAGACTTCACCTCTGGGGCTCTTCCATGAGGAGAAAGCTGAGTGGAGAAAGGATATGGAACTCTAGCTGCTTTTGTTTGCAGACTTTCAATAAGTTCTCCTGTTTTCAGTTCCATGTATAAACTGATGTTTTGAATTTCTGAGACTTTCTGGAATTCAGTAGAATGAATTAGTCTGTATCTGGTTTTCTCTCACTGCTGGATGTTTTGTTCCTTTCTTCCTTAAACCATTCTCACGTCTGATAAGTAATTTGTCACATGTCCAATTGTTATTCGCTTTTCATTTTTTAAAACAGCCATTGTTTCATTCTGTTGTATATGGGATCACTATGAGTTGGAACCCACTTGATTGTGCCTACCAACAACTATATCATTGTCTAATAATTGATTCTCTGCCCTTATGTCTTTTGAAAATCTTTCTCATGATTTTAGTGTGTGATCAGGAGGGAGCAATGCATAATATTCCATTTAAAGAAGATTAAGGGAGTTCTTTTACACACAATACATATCCAGCACAAATGGCCTAAGTGAAAGCTCTCTGAACTCAATATAGGACTTAATTTTTTTTCCAGATTGAGTTTAGAAAGTCAGAAAACTATCTTTCAAACTTGCAGATAATGACAGAAAGGAAATGAAAAAAACAATGCCAGCAGTCCACAGCACAATTATGAGAAATGAGTTAGGAAAGGATTTTCATCTGCTTCTCATCAAGGCCAGCTTTTGTATTCTCCTCTGGCACTTTAATACCCTGGCACACCAAAATATAGAAGGTATTCTTTACATTTGTAGCATTCTTTTTTTGTGTGTGTGTGAATTGAGTGATAGTTTACATGGAAGAACATGGAATGCAACATGGTTTTACATTCATCATTTCACTGCAATGATTACAGTCTCCTCCATGCATCATCATTCAACCATATTTACTTCTATTCCCTCTTTTTTTGGTTTGTACACAAAAATATTCAGGCATATATAATCATGTAAACAACCAAAGGGCACACTCTGAAAGCCTGCCTCCTGGCCGCCAACACTCAGTCTTTTATCTTTCTATGAGTCCAGAGTCCTCACCTGCTCTTTCTCTCCATGTCCTCAACTCTGCATCCATCTCTGGTGTCACGGCTTTTCTGGATAGGCTTCTCCTTTGATGGTCCTAGGGTCCTTTGTTCCTGGATGGTAAGATTAACTACTACCCCCTTTTTGTTATGAAACTTCTGCCTTTACAGTTGTAGCAATCACAATTAGTCATGATAACAAGTACTCACTATTGAATCATAAGAATCTTATCCCCATCTCTTTTCATCAGAACCATCTAGAGAAGATGAAAACCATTCACTGGGGTTTCTACCTTCTCCAGCACACTAAACCCCCTCTTGAAAACTTATAAGCCAGTCACTTTGTGACTTTATAGTGCTCGCCACTCCCCCACCCCCCACCCCCCGCATTTTAGGTAGCCAATGTCTAATTTCCCATCCCTAAGGAACTCTGGTAGCGTAGTGGTTACTAATCAGGCTGCGAACTGCAAGGTCAACAGTTCAAAACTACCAGCTGTTCCGCGGGAGAAAAATGAGGCTTTCTGCTCCCATAAAGATTTACAGCCTCAGAAACCCTGTACAGGGTTGCTGTGGGTCGGAACTGACTCGACAGCACTTAACAACAAAAATACCCTGTATGGAGTCCTGGTGTGGCACTGTGGGTTAATACGCCAGACTGCAAAGCTGTTTGAACTGCAAGGTCAGCAGTTCAAGCTCACTAGCTGCTCGTTGGAAACCCTATATAGGGTCGCTATGAGTCGGAATCAACTCGACAGCACTAAACAACAACATATACCCTGTATACAGAGAGGATAGGATTGATACTTGATGTGAAGACTCCTTCCCTCTGTGTTGGTATTTTGAGTTACTACATTCATGAGTATAGGTCAAGTTAGTCAAATTGTAGCAATTTACTCTCATTTCCTTTATTAAAAAAAAAAAATTAATCATCCTCTCTAATCGAGTTCTGATTATCAAGCCATTGAGGCTAGATCAAATGGGTACTATCTGTAAGTTTGGGTGTTCTTGTGCTTCTTCCCTCACTTCACATCAGCTGGATGCTTCACTCTCACCTCTAGCCCTCCATGGCTATGTCCTTGTCCATGGGCTCAGGAGCCCCCAGGTCTTACCACACTTCAGACCAACCAGCCCTTCCTCTTATCTCTCTCATCTTCAGGCTGACAGGAGTCTATGGAATGTGGTTGAACTCAGCCCATATCTTCATTGCTGTCCATTTGTAGCATTCTTAAAAAAAAAAGAAAAAAGTAGTATATTAATTGAATTCACAAGCTCTTATTATCATAGCTTGCATCAAAGTACACTGAGGCAAAGTACACTGAGGGAAAACACTTAGCCAGTTCCTTATGTCATTGGTAAGTGCCATCAAGTCGGTTCCAGCTCTTAGCTACCCTGTATAGGGTTTCTGAGACTGTAAATCTTTGCAGAAGCAGAGAGCTTCATCTTTCTCCTGAGGAGTGGCTGGTGGTCTCAAACTTCAGTCTAGTGCTTGTGGTTTGCAGTTCAGTCTCTAGAGCCACCACAGTTTCCATTAACAATATAAAGATGTTTAAATTGCAAATCTAGATATTTTTCCATACTAGTTTAGATATTGGATTTGGTGAATATTTATTTCTTTTGCAGATGTCAGTATTAATGATAATGATGTTTCTGGTGGCTTGGTCCCCTTATTCCATTGTGTGCTTATGGGCTTCTTTCGGTGATCCAAAGAAGATTCCACCTTCTATGGCCATCATTGCTCCACTGTTTGCAAAATCCTCAACATTCTACAATCCTTGTATTTATGTGATTGCTAATAAAAAGTAAGTAATGTCTAATATGATTCTGAGTTAAAAAATTATACAAGAATATTAAAAGTCAATGAATAATGTTTGAAGATTTCTACAAAGGTTTGTTATAGAAATTTACTTCAAACTGGTATAAACAAGAAGGATGTTTGACTCATGCAGCTAAACATACAGCGGCCTTTAAGACCTAAAATACCTCCATCTCTTGTTCTGTGACAGGCTTTTTCCATATGAGACCAGAGATGATCATGGATAATCTAAGACTCAAGTTCTACCAGTTAACCAATACAAATGTGAGCATCAGCTAAGATAGATTTCTAACAAAAAAAGCTCTTGGAGAGAGATCCCTGATCAGTTCAGATTGGTCTGCAAGGTTAACCAGTGGCTGTCAAGTCAATTCCAGCTCATGGTGATCTCATGTGTATCAGAGTAGAACTAGGTTTTCAGTGACTGATTATTTTGGAAGTAGATCACCAGTCCTTTCTTCCAGGTGGACTTGATAGAACAGAGATGTAAAGAAGTAGGAACCGATCTGGTCCCTTCTTCCTCCACCACGATAGCCACCAGCAACCACAGGTAGAACAAGATAGCTAAAGAAGGAGACTAAGAGAAGGAAAGCCTATGAGCTATGAGAACATCAGAGAGAGACATTTTAACGAATAAATATTCCTAGACTGAGCCATGTTCGACGTCTGTTTCACTGGCTTTTAGAGACAGACCCACTCACTTATCGAGTGTACTTTCAAAAGCTTTCTATTAAACTTACTTTTCTCACACTCCAGTTGTCTTTCCTTTCCAACATCCCACTCAAATCTTCGACTCCTTGCTAGAAGTCTAGGAGAATTCCTATGAGTAGAATGGTAACAGATTGGAAACCCCAACCTTTCAGTTAACAGCCAAACACATTAACCATTTATATCACTCTTGTTGTTGTTGTTATGTGCCGTGGACTTCGTTCCGACACATAGCAACCCTGTGCAGGGTTTCTGAGGCTGTAAATCTTTACAGGAGTAGAAAGCCTCATCTTTCTCCCATGAAACAGCTGGTAGTTTCGAACTGCTGACCTTGTGGTTCACAGCCCGATTTGTAATCATTACGCTACCAGGGCTCCTTATCATTACTCCACCTGAAATATATAGAATGGGTTTTCTAAAATATGTTGTTGTTAGTTGCCATTGAGTTCTTATCCACTCATGGTGATAGCATCCATGTGTTACAAGACTAGAACTTCCCTATTGGGTTTTCTTGGCTGTAATCTTAATGGAAGCACAACACCAAGCCTTTTCTTCTGGGCAATTTTAATGGCCAACCTCTAGTTTAGCAGTGTTGTGCAAATTGTTTTGTGATACGTAGGGATGTTTCCCAAAAGATAAAGCAGTTCTAGTACTGGAAAATGAACAAGTGCTGAACTGCCTACATTTATTTGTGTATTTCCAGAAAGAAAACATATTACCCAAATACAAGAGAAAAATCCAGTGCTAATATAAAGAGCCTCAGGAATCAATAGTCATTTAGGATAATAGATACTTCTTCTCGCCCTCTAATTTTTGCATTCAGCAAGGGATTTCCTTTCCTGCTTCCTTAGTGAAATTGAGATTATTTCATTTCTGGAAAAATAGAATAAACCAATCCATTGTGCTTAAATATTTGGCCAGGAAATCTCAGTAGAAGTCAGGTAATTTGAACCTGGAATGTGAATGCTGTTTTTTTATTGAACTTGTGTTTTCGTGCACATTTTGAAGATCAGCTTTAGGTACAGACCAGGGATGAGAAGAAACTAAAAAAAAAAAATTAAGTCCAAACAGACTGAGGAAGAGCAAAAGATACATTTTCAATTCAGAGCTTTTTTTAAGTTCTTTTGCAACCCCCCTTAGAGCGCTGGTGGCTCTGTAGGATAAGCACTGGACTGCTAACCACAAGGTCAGCAGTTCAAGCTCACCAGCCACTCCACGGGAGAAAGATGAAGCTTTCTGCTCCTTAAAGATTTATAGACTCGGAATTGACTTGATAGCAGTGGCTTTGGTTTTTAATTTCAATGGACCTTTGCTCAGAAGAACTCACAGTTGCTCTCAGTTGATTCTAACAGAGGCACAAAATACACATCCTTAGTTTTGTTTTTTTTAAAAGATGCCAATCGATGCTAGAAGTATCATTTTAAAGGCATGTAATTACTAGACTATTGTTAAAAATCTTAAATGTTTATAAGCAGTAGTGTAAAATTGGCCTTTTTTATTGTTAAGTGCTGTTAAGTTGGTTCTGACTGTCGCGACCCTGTATAAGGTTTCCAAGGAGTAGCTGGTGAATTCGTACTGCCGACCTTGAGGTTCAAACCAACTTTTCAGTTCAGCACATTATCCCACAGTGCCACACCAGGACTCCAAAATTGGCCTTAAGCTGTACCATTTACTACATGTTTTTGTAATAGTTATAAAGGAGTCCCTGGTTGATACAGTTAAAACACTCAACCACTAACCGAAATGTTGGCGGTTTGAATCTACCCTGGGGTGTCTGGGAAGAAAGACCTCACAATCTAATGAAGATGTTAAATTGGAGGTAGAAATTTACTTTGTAAATGTCAATTGGTAGTAGTGGCAACAAATTCCTGTTTGAAAGTGTTTTAAGAATTCTAAATTATTATAAAATGATGTCAGATTTCCCCTTTTTTATCACAGGTTCCGAAGGTCAATGTTTGCCATATTCAAATGTCAGACTCACCAAGCAGTGCCTACGACAAGTATTTTACCAATGAATGTATCTCAAAACCCATTGGCTTCTAGAAGAATCTGAAATAAGAGAAAGGTATACACTATCAAAGTGCTTTCTTTCTTTATTTTTTTAAGCCATCCTGCTTTCCTTGTTTTTTTTTTTTTTTTTGTTGTTGTTGTTGTTTTGTTTTGTTTCTTTTTTTACCAAAGTTTTAATTTATTTTAAGTTTGATCCCATTTAGGTCAAATGCAGACATAGATAAATGTCTGATTAGACTGTGAGTTCATCAAGTGAAGCACACAGTTCTGTTTGTACAATGGATACTGTAGTGTATGTTTCTTTACTTGGTTGTGTCTAAATTTGTTGCTTATCTCCTTCAGTGGACCTAGTCTTACTAGTTTAAAGCCCCTGTTCTCTTCTCCCTATCAGCTCACATTACACCATACTGATGGCCTGCTGATTTATTTGAGTCTTCCATTAGCTTATAAGCAGCTGCTATTTTAATGTTAGGATAAATTAACAACAGTAATTAGTTGTATAATGCTATATGTTGTTGTTAAATGCTGTTGAGTTGTTTCTGACTCTGTATATGGTTTCACTGGCTTTAAATCTTCACAGGGGCAGAAAGCCCCATCTTTCTCCTGCAGAGTGACTGGCAGGATCAAACCACAGACCTTGCAATTTGCAATCTAGCACTTATCATATGGAGTCATCATGCTCCCCTTTTAATGTATACTAGTTTGGGTAGCATAGTGGTTATGAGTCGGGCTGCTAACCTCAAGGTCAGCAGTTTGAAACCACCAGCTGTTTTATATGAGAAAGATAAGGCTTTCTGTTCCTGTAAAGATTTACAGTCTCAGAAATTCTATACAGGGAACTGACTCCATAGCATGCAACCACCACCACCTCATCGGTGGTAAAAACTTACAGTTTGGAAACACTACAGCTGATTCTACTTGGTACTACCAATGTAATGAACCTGTCTTGAAACATTTATAAGACAGTATTGACATTGCACTTTTGTTCTTTGAGGGCCCGGAAACACTGAGGTTTTCAGTTCAGATGTCCTGTTATATCATTTTACATGTGGGAAAGGTGTTCTGATAAACTTTTGTTTTCTGCTAGAACAAGGAGGAAACATTATTTGAACTAGATAATCAATATGGTTTTATACAAATCTATTTTTAGATACTTCATTTACATGATAAAAGGAATAATTTTATGCTAAAATGCATGCATTGATAAAGAAAATACAAAAACAAAATATAGGTGCCTAGCAGCTTCATTTTATTTGGTTTGCAAAGGTAGTGAATATCAAGGATATCACTGGCAGCCAAAAGGGGTTCAAAA